TTTTTTCTTTTTTTCTTTTTTTGAGACAGAGTCTCTCTCTGTTACCCAGGCTGGAGTGCAATGGCGTGGTCTCAACTCACTGCAACCTCTGCCTCCCAGGTTCAAGCAGTTCTCCGGCCTTAGCCTCCCAAGTAGCTGGGATTACAGGCACGTGCCACCAGGCTGGTCTCAAACTCCTGACCTCAGGTGATCTGCCCACCTCGGCCTCCCAAAGTGCTGAGATTACAGGCGTGAGCCACCTGTGCTGGGCCAATTTTCACTGTGCTTTGTATTCCATTATATGAAAATGCCACACTTTATCCATTCTGCTGTTGTTAGATACGTGGGTTGTTTCCTGTTACTTTCACAATCAACACAATTACTCATATGCATGTCTCTCAGTTAACAAGTGCAAACACTGAGTGTAGAGTATGCACATGTTCAATTTTATTGGGCAATACCAAACGCCTTTCCAAAGTGGTTGAGCAAGCAAAAATGCTGAATGTTTCATTTTAACCAACATGGGATTATAGGCATGTTCAGATTACAGAAAAAAGTTCTTTAGGCTGGGCGTGGTGGCTCACTCCTGTGATCCCAGCACTTTGGGAGGCCGAGGAAGGCAGATCAGGAGGTCAGGAGATCGAGACCGTCATGGCTAACATGGTGAAAACCCATCTCTACTTAAAAATATATATATACAAAAAATTAGCCAGGTGTGGTGGCAGGCACCTGTAATCCCAGCTACTTGGGAGGCTAAGGCAGGAGAATTCCTTGAACCCTGCTAAGGCAGGGCAGAGGTTGCAGTGAGCCAAGATTGCACCACTGCACTCCAGCCTGGGCGACAGAGTGAGACTTAGCCTCAGGGGAAAAAAATTCTTTAAAACAGAAATGAGAGAGACAGAGAGAGAGAGAGAGAGAGAGAGAGAGAGAGAGAGAGTATGTGTGTGTGTGTCCATCACAAATAAAAAGGGTGATAGGAGGCATTAACAGCTTCATCAACCATATCTTTAATTATAGACAAAGTCAAAATTAGCCACAATCTATTTTCCTGTTTAAATTAAAACCTAACATTATATATCATACCATTTTACATTCCCACCACCAGTCTACCAAGAAGACGTGTTTTATACAATGCAATCACAGGTACTTTTAATAAGACTCTATATGAGTCGTCATGAAAATAAGATTGAAGCTGCTAAGTAGTAAGTTAATTATAAAACTATACATATATACACATATAACCTTTTTTTTTTTTTTTGAGACAGAGTCTCGCTCTGTGTCCCAGTCTGCAGTGCAGTGGCACGATCTTGGCTCACTGCAACCTCTACCTCCTGGGTTCAAATGATTTTTCTGCCTCAGCCTCCTGAGTAGCTGGGGCTACAGGCACGCGCCACCATGCCCAGCTGTTTTTTTTTTTTTTTAGTAGAGACGGGGTTTCACCATGTTGGCCAGGATGGTCTCGATCTTTTGACCTCATGATCCACCTGCCTCGGCCTCCCAAAGTGCTGTGACTACAGGCATGAGCCACCATGCCCGGCCTACATGTATAACTTTTTAAAGAAAAAAGTGTTTGTACTAAGTAAAACTACACATACATAATGCTGTCTGTGCATAGGAAGAAGACTGAACTACTACTGTTGGGGTTCCAAGTGGAAATGTCAAGGAATGAGGCCAGTTTTCTTTTGTTGTTGCTGTTTTTATAATTGTGTAGGGTCAGTTTTAATTTTTACTGTCTGATTTTGTTAAAAAGAACTTAATACTTGTATAATTTTGAATCTAGTAAAGATAAAAATTGTGAGTGATGCTGGAATATTTATCATTTTTGTCTAAAAAAATATTTTCCTGGCAGGGTGTGGTGGCTCACACCTGTAATCCCAGCACTTTGGAAGGTTGGGGTGGGTGGATCACCTGAGGTCAGGAGTTCAAGACCAGCCTGGCCAACATGGGGGAACCCTGTCTCTACTAAAAATACAAAAAATTAGCCAGGGGTGGTGGCAGGCACCTGTAATCCCAGCTACTTGGGAGGCTGAGGCAGGAGAACTGCTTGAACCTGGGAGGCAGAGGTTGCAGTGAGCCCAGATCACTCCACTGCACTCCAGCCTGGGCAACAAGAGCAAAACACCGTCTCAAAAAAACAAAACAAAACAAAACACTTTTTTTCTTTCATTTTACTACCTATGCATGTCCCTAAACAATGTATTCTTGGCTTTATTTCCTTTACATAAAAAGGAACTTTTCTCAGAAATAAAGCCAAATTATCAACTTTTTAAGTCCATCCCATACTATGGACAGAGCAACTTCTAGAAAGACTATTTTAACTATAGTTCTAGAAACCAAACAGAGAAATCTTTTAAGGTTTTCAAATCTTTAAGCTTTACAATGAGTGATGAAAAGTGGAGATCAGATGTTATTTTATGTCTGGAAAACTTTAAAAGAATAAAAGCCAGTAATAAAATTATAATAAGCTATGTGTCTAATTTTAAACATACATGTAATGGAATATAAACGACCAACTTACATCTATTGGCAGTGATTCATCTTCCTTTTCTGTTAGTCGCATATAAGAACGATCTATAAACCAGAAGCATACCATTAAGGAAATTGTAGCTCATTTTTCTTTCTTAAAATGCAAGCAAATCAATATACCAAAGAAGTGGCTGACTTACCTGCTACATAAAGTAATGCTAATCCCGGATTCCTCAAAACCTCCTATCTTCTAAGGCAGTCAGCCCTATCTTACTGAACTATTTGATTTTCATCACGACCTGCTTTGTCACCTTATACAATGGGTAAGAGTGATAGGTGAGTAAGTATGAGGCAGAAATACCTTAGTATAATTTTCCTTTCATTATTCTAGAAACTTCTCAAACTGTTACTTTCATTAACTCATCAAAGAAATCACAATTATTTAAAAGGTAAAGTCTACAGAAAATTTCAACTCTGAAACAGCACCATCACCACACAGTATGGATAAAAGACTGTTATAGAAATGGGTCTCTTGAGAGGATACGCTGGGGCAGTGGTGGCACAGGAATTCCATGAAATCAGTTTCTGCCTCTACCAGTTAATTATAATTCTGCTGCTGCTGCCTAACCCCAGGAGGCAGCAAAGAATAAAAGAAAAGAATCGGGATTTAGAAACTGGTAAGCCTAAATCAGTGCCAGCTCTTCAATTTACTATAATCTCATTTAATTAAAGAAGCTCTCAGTGATCCTAATACATATCTCAAGTTCAGAGTGTTAAAATAGGGGGTGTCTTAAAAATCAAAGAAATACAGTATCTACTTTTTCATTACCTGAATTTCCACAACAGTAAAATGAGAATAATGTGAGGTGAGGATTAAACAAGATACAGTAAATGACTGGTGCCCTACTAGAACAAAGTTCATTACAGCAAAGATAAGCATGTCACAGCGCCACACTGTGCTATCTACTGCCACAATCTGACATGACACACTTAGTCTTAAATGTATATATTACTCTCTCTCTAACATGAGCATTATACATAAAGAGGTCTCACTGCAGTGGCAAATCCACAAGGCATTCTCATCACCCAAAACATAAAATACAAAAATCTTAATTCTAGATGAACCTAGGACAATCCCTATGTAATAACTTACTTTGGACTAAACTCAAATTGTTTTTGAGTGCATGTGTATTGACTCTTAAAAGAGAATGTGTTTAGAGACATTTCTTAAGTTTTAATCTACAGGTTTGTCATAAAGACAAGTGTAAAAGAAACATCAAACCAATACCAAAGTAGATTTTGACTAATCTTCTATCTGGTTCAATTCCCAGCTAGCTTGCATGAAGCCTCGCCTGATTCTAACGCTACATTCAACCAGGAATTTCTTCATCTGTAAAATTAAAGCGTTGGAATTCAGTGAACTCCAAGAGCCCTTCTCGCCCTACAAGTATATAATTCTACAGCTAAAGCTTAGTGTAGAAAATGACAGAGTACTCCAGTGTATCCTAAGCTCCTCTAGGACAGTGTTTCTCAAACTAATGTGTATACAAATCACCTGGGGATCGTATTAAAACCCAGATTCTGATTGAACAGATCTGGCCTGAGCGTCTTCTAACTACCTGCCAGGTGGTGCTCATGATGCTGGTCTGTTGACCACACTTTAAGCAGCAAGGATCTATGATACTTTCTTTCCTTAACCTCCCAGTTCCCCCTCCCCAAAATGACTGTCCCTGCTTCCATGCATCCTTATATACTTTTAGCATATCACTTCATTGTAATTACTTCTTGATCCACTTGTTTTCCTCTAGACTTTGAACTGGCTCAGGGCATCGCTGTATCTCTAAGCACCTAAGCACAGTGCAATTTCAACCAACGACCCAAAACTGAAGTTCATAACTCAGGGTAGCACAAATCTTTTGCCCAAGGTCACACAGATTTAGCGGTAATGCAAGTTTCCTACCAACCAGCCCTTTAGACTCCCAGTCCAGTGCTCTTTCTCCCGTACCACAGTGCCTCCCTGAGGTAATCGGTCACTTAACTACTCAGTCTTTGCCTAGACAGCCCAAGAATGCCCAAGATACTGTCCACTTTGTTGTCGGGGGACCATGAGCATCCAGAGTCCTCAATCCCACAACTGTGCCTAATCTGCCCCGTGCTGGATCTGTCATCACTTGTCCTGGATTCCTGGAGACCCATTCTGAACCATCCCAGACACCTCCTTCCAACTTTCCTGCAATTTCAGGTGCCACACTCTCCTCAAATTGAAACTCCGAACCTTCCACTGGTGACTCCTGCACTGATTTTCTTAGTCACTCCAAACCGTAAGGTCCCAAAGGACTATTTAATCGGACACTCGCTCTGATGGTCCCTTAGAAGTGCGCCCACACACCGCCCCTAAGGTCCCACACCGGAGCGGTCCCCGTGCCCCAGGCACTTACGCTGCGCAGCGGAAAAGGCGGCGTGGGCTAGGGCAAAGAGACCGATGCCTACGAGCCCCTTCCAAAGCGATGGCGCCATAATGCCGAAGAAGCAGCAGCCCCGCAAAAGAAGCGAAGGGTGGCGAAGCTGTTTCTTCTTCCACCTGCGGGTGTCCGCGCGCCGCAGAAAGATGACGTCACTGAAGTCCTGAGCGCCAAGTGTCTAAGTGGTGGAAAAGCCAGAGGGCTGTGAGAAAGCGGAAACAGGAATGCCGGGAAGAAGGAGAAACCTACACGGAAAAAGGTCCGCGAGAACCCACGAACCTGCGCTACGGAGGCCTCTCTGGGAGGGGCGGAGCTCAACGGAATCGTAAACGAAGACGCGAAAGCAGGAGCAATGCGGAAGCGAAGAGGAAGGACGCCGGCTAATAAGCGCGGGCCGCGACAGCGGGGCGGGGCCAGTGGCGAAA